AGGCAGCTGCTGCTCTGGGGGTCTTCCTGTACCTTCTGCACGATGGCGCTCACGGCCTTGTGCACCTGCTCGGGTTCGCCGCTGACCGTCACCACGCGCTCCTGCAGGTTGATGCCCTCTGGCTTCTGGGACAGCTGCACCCAGGCCCCCGACTGTTCCATCACGGCTTTCACCGTGGCGCCTCCCTTGCCGATGATCAGGCCCGCCGTGCTGTTGGGGACGATCAGCTTGGCCTGCGAGGAGCGAGCGGGAGGATCGTTAGGGTGGTCATTGCAGCCTGGACAGTGACAGCAGTGTCACTCCCACCTCTGCTCTCGTGTCCCAAATCAGGGCCCCGTGAGAGGCGCCAGCAGGTCCTGCTGGTTGTTAAAAAATACCGGGCCCTGGCCAGTGTGCTCAGTGGATAGAGCGTCAGCCTGTGGACCGCAGGGTGGAGGGTTTGATCTTCCGTTAAGGGCATGTACCTGGGTTGCAGGGTCAATCCCAGCTCCGGTTGGGGTGCGTGCGGGAGGCAACCAATCCATGTGTTTCTCTCCCATGTATGTTTCTTTCTCTCTTTCCCCCTCCTCCCTTCTACTCTCTCTCTGAAAGGCAGAGGAAATATATCGGAATGCTTCCCTATTAGTTAAAAAAGAGCTGGTAACCCAAGTCCCTTCGGTAGCCTCTCGGCCACCCTGCCCCATGCCCCTAGGCCCGCTGGGACCTCCGTTCCATCCAGCACCTTGAAGGCTTTGTGGCTGACCCCGTGGGGCCCCCCAGGACTCCGCTCCAAGCTTGCCGTGATGCCCACCCCCTTCCTTCTCTATCATTACAAGTCTCCTGAGCCCAAGCCAGTTTGGCTCAGTGGGTAGAGCGATGGCCTGCGGACTGAAGGGTCTCAGGTTCGATTCCCATTAGGGGCACATGCCCGGGTTGCGGGCTTGATCTCCAGTAGGGGACGTGCAAGAGGCAACCAATCAATGATTCTCTCTCATCACTGATGTTTCAATCTTTCTCTCCCTCTCCCTTCCTCTCTGAAATCAATTAAAAAACAACAACAAAGTCTCTTGAGCCCCAGAAAAGGCATCATTAATCTCACTTTACAGATGGGCCACTTGAGGCCTAAGAGGGGAAGGGACTTGTCCCCAGGTCACCCAGATAGTGAAGGAGCTGCAATTCAGCCTCATGGATTCCTGCTCCATTGGGCTTCCCACTCTAAGACACGGTCACCTGCTTAACCTCTTTGTAGTTGTTATGGGCCTAATTGTTCCTCCCTCTACCCTCCCCTCGCCCCCCAATTCATATGTGACGTTCTCACCCTCACTACCTCAGTGACTGTGTTTGGAGAGGGGGCCTTTAAAAAGGTGATTAAGGCTAAGCAAGGTCATGGGGGCGCTGATCCACTATGACTGGCGTCCTTATAAGAAGAGGAGGTTAGGACACAAACACACACGGAGGGAAGACCAGCTCCAGGTCACGGAGAGAGACCTCAGCAGAAGTCAGACGTGCTGACTCCTTGATCTTGGACTTCCGGCCTCCTGAACTGTAAGAAAATGAATTTTTGTTGTTTAAACCATTGAGTCGGCGGGGATGTGCTATGGCAGCCCTCGCGATCTAACACAGGTGCCTGATCTGTAAAATGAAGGCAGTGAAACCTTACGTCCGAGAAGGCAGGGAGAGAACCGGTCACCTGACCATGGTGGTCCCCTCTCCCAGGTGGCAAAGCTGCCCATCCTCTGCAGCCACGAAACTGATCGATCTGAATTGCAGCGGCGTTATTTCACAACAAAATGTCTCCTTTTGCCCTGACCGGTTTGGCTCAGTGGATAGAGCGTCGGCCTGGGGACTTAAGGGTCCCAGGTTCGATTCTGGTCAAGGGCATGTGCCTTGGTTGCGGGCACATCCCCAGTTGGGGGTGTGCAGGAGGCAACTGATCGATGTTTCTAACTCTCTATCCCTCTCCCTTCCTCTCTGTAAAAAATCAATAAAATATATTAAAAAAAAAAAACCCAAAATGTCTCCTTTCTCATCTCCAAGGGCATCTCCACATACAAATTCCTCCTTCCCAGTCCTTCCCACGCCCCTTCAGACCTGTGGATTCTAGCCCCCGAAGCTCTCTCTCTCACCTCTGCCTCTCCTCTCCACCCCCACACCAGACCCTGGGGGTACCTGGGGATTTGTGGGAGCCGTTTTGGTTGTGGTAATGACTCGGGGCAGATCTGGGCGTTCAGTGGGCACAAAAACCCCCAAGTGGATTCTAGCCCCTGAAGCCCTCTCTCTCATCTCTGCCTCTCCTCTGGTACCTGGGGGTACCTGGGAATTTGAGGGAGTCGTTTTGGTTGTGGCAATGACTCGGGGCAGATCTGGGCGTTCAGTGGGCAGGGCCACGGATGTTTGCACCCACAATGTGAGAGGCAGCTCCTCACAGTGAATAATCATCCCGGATCCTCTCTGACTTCTGAATGTCCCCCTAACATGCATGCTGTGGCAAGTCTGTTGATAAATCTCTGAACTCCACGATACATGTAAAGGGCCAGGTATTAATTATTTATTTTTGCACAGTTTTAAGATCTACTGCAATTTTCCAGGCATGCAACTCCTAGGAAACGAAGGGAAGACTGTACTTTGTTTTGTTCTGAACTTTACCAAGAGTCTTTTCATCCGTTTAGAAAACCGTGACATCAGCAATGATGCCACTTGCACCATTTATACTCCCAATACCACCCTCTGGATCACTGCGTTTGCCGCTGTCTCCCTCAGGCGATGTTAGGTATGAGCCTTTCGTTATCTTTTCTGCGGTCGTCCTGGCTAAGCATCTACATATTAAAATGCATCCGATTTTATGACAAATCACCTTACTTTCGTTTCTTCTTTAGTGAAAAAGTCCAATGGGATAAAGAATATGTGCACCAGGATTTTATGACAAATCACCTTACTTTCGTTTCTTCTTTAGTGAAAAAGTCCAATGGGATAAAGAAAATGTCCACCTGGACAACAGACTATTATTTGGCAATCAATTTCAATGAGTGAAGTATTGGTATAGGTTACAACATGGATGAATCTAGAACACATGCTATGTGAACGACGCCAGGCACAAAAGACCATATATTGTATGATTCTATTTATATATGAATGTTCAGAATAGGCAAATCTATAGAAAAGAAAGTAGATTAGTGGTGGCTTAGAGCTGGAGGGGGGGTGGTGAGCTGCAGATTCAGGGGTGATAACTAAGGGGATCAAGATTTCTTTTTGAGGAAATGAAATGTTCTAAAATGGATCCTGGTGATGGGTGCACAACTCCATATCATAAAACCATTGAACTGTACTTTACTGTTAAAAATCTTACAGCCCGACCAGTGTGAGATCAACCAGTTCAATCAGTGGTTGAGATCACAGTTTGATTCCCCATCAGGGCACATTCCCGGGTTGTGGGCTCCATCCCCAGTTGTGGGGGTGCAGGAGGTGGCCATCAGTGATTCCCTCTCACTATTAATGTTTCTATCTCTCCCTCTCCCTTCCTCTTTGGAATCAATAAAAACATATTTAAAAAAAATCTTACAGATCTAGCCATGGCCTGGTAGTTCAGTTGGTTGGAGCGTCGTCTTGATATACCAAGGTTGCGGGTTTGACCCCCAAATCAGGGCACATACAAGAATCAACCAATGAACGCATAGATAAGTGGAACGACAAATTGATGTTTCTCTCTCTCTCCCTTCCCGTCCTTCCAAAAATAATCAATAAAAACACTAAAAAATTTTACATATCTAGTTATGTTTCACATCTGTATTTTTTATATAATTTTAGAGAGTAAGTGGGCATAGGCAGTATTTGTCGGAGAAAGAGGACATTGGGTCTGACAAGGCCGAGAGCTGCTCACTACTCCACGGGCTCTATTCCCTGTTGATCTCTTTGACTTCACCTCTTCTTTCCCTCCCGCCCCCCACTTGCTGACTCCATTGCACACACACCCGACGTCCTGCTGTTCCTTTAACTTGCCAAGCTCAGTCCAGACTCGGGGCCTTTGCACCTGCTGTTCCCTCATCTGGAACACTTTCCCCAAAAAAGAGGCCCACCCCTCCCTTCATTCAGGTCTTTGCACAAATGCACCTCCTCAGAGAGGCCTTCTCTGACCAACCAATTATCAAAGCCTGTTCATTTGCCCATTTTATGCCCCAGCATGGACACCTCAAGACTCAGATTCAGCTGTGAACCTCACAGCTCTAGTATGATGTAGAATGGACACCCCGAACTTCAAGCCCACATTGGAACCTCTCTCTTTCTCCTCAAATGTGTTTCTGCCATCGTGTTCCTCATTTCTGCCCATGGACAATGCATCCTTCCATTACTCAGACCCAAGATTAGGCACCCTCTATTTCCCTCACACTCAACATCCAATCAGCAATGCTGCTGGTTCTACCGTCAAAATTATCCTAGGAGTCTAGATCAAAAGAGGCTAATGAGGTATAACAACCAAATGCAACGAATGAACACTGACTGAATCTTGAATAGAAAAATGCATACTCTATAGGTATAAAAGATAATTTGGGGCAATTAGAATATAGACTTTTTGTTAAATAATAGTATGGAATTATTATTAACTAGAGGCCCGGTGCACGAAATTTGTGCAAGAGTAGGCCTTCCTTCCCCCGGCTGCCGGCACTGGCTTCCCTCTGGCACCCAGGACCCGGGCTTCCCTTGCAGCCCGGCTTTGTCCGGAAGGACATCTAGTCTAATTAGCATAGTACACTTTTATTATTATAGGTTTTATAGGTATAATAACAGTAATACTAATATAGGAGCCTGTCCTTGTTCTTGAGAGATAAATGCTGGCATACTTAGGGGTGAAGAGTCATGAGATCTACATCTTATTTTCAAATGGATCAGCAACAAACAAACAAAAAAACAATGTGTGTGTGTGTGTGTGTAGAGATAAATCAAATGTTAACAACTGGTGAATCTAAGTGCTGCAGTGTATAGGGAATTCATTGTACTGTTCTTTAAACATTTTCAAAATAAAAAGTCAGGAGAAAAAAAAAATATATACCCCTATAGTCCCTTTCCTTCTTCTCTGCTTGATTTTTTCCATAGCATTTTTCATTCTCTGATATCCTATATATTTTATATTTTATGTATATTAAAAATTTTTTTTATCTAACCAGTTTTGATTTTTAAATTGTAAAACATATTTTCTTTTTTATTGAATTTATTGGGGTGACATTGGTTAATAAAATTACATAGGTTTCAGGTGTACAAT